CCGTACGTGCGCATCAAACATAGGTATCTTTGCGCGTATTTGTGCCGTTTACAGTGAAATTATGCTAAAATCAGACCTATTTTTAATCAGTTATAGCTCCTTAGGTTGAAAGGTGACCCCCCATTTTCATTACATATTCTCAAGGCACATAAGTTGTAAATATGATTTTATAGATCATAATGGCTGATCGGACATTGTGACGTCATCATATTGGCATCTGAATTCAAAGAAAGTGATTTATAGCTATGACGTTATTTTTGAAAATACGCATTTCAGCTTATCTCGCTTATCCTTGATCGATCGTCTTCCAACTTTGAGTATGTTATAGCTGAGACAATTCTCTTTCATATATTTGACTTCTTTTTACATTTTGATGACGTCATCATGGTCAAAAAAATTGTTTTTTCTGACCCCTACATCTTTCTTTCATCTAAAAGTTGATGAGCCCATATCATCTTTACCATTCGTTATTTCTGAATCATATTAAGTGAGCATAATCTTCAGGTCAAGGTTGAATGTCATGTACCTTAATTTTCCGTTCGCGCGACTTAACGTGCTTGTACGCGTGCGTTAACGTTTATATATGCGTAAATCCATGAATATTTTTAATCAGTTATAGATCCATAGGATGAAAGGTGACCCCCAATTTTTATTACATATTCTGAAAGCATGTGAGTTGTAGATACGATTTTATAGATCATAATGGCTGATCAGACATTGTGACGTCATCATATTGCCATCTGAATTCAACAAAACTGATTTTATCGATGTCATTTTTGAAAATACTCATTTGAGCGCATCTCGCTTATCCTTAATCGATCGTCTTCCAACTTTAAGTATGTTATAGATGAGACAATTTCTTCCATATATGGTACTTCTGCTTACATTTTGATGATGTCATCATGGTCAAAATAAATGTTTTTTCAGACCCACTCATCTTTCTTTCCTCAAAACATTGAAAACCCCATAATCATCCTAACCATTCGTCATTTCTGAATAATATTAAATTTGCATACACTACAGGTCAAGGTTGAATGTCAGGTACCTTAATTTTTCATTAGCGCGTTTTGACTTGCGTTTACGTGTGCGTCAACATTTATATATGCTGAAAATTGTGCTTATTTTTAATCAGTTATAACTCCTTAGGATGAAAGGTTACCCCTAATTTTTATTACATATTCTGAAAGCACATGAGTTTTAGATATGATTTTATAGATGATTATGGCTGATCTGACATTTGACGTCATATTACCATATGAATTTTAAAAAACTGAATTTTAATTTATGTCGTTATTTTTTCATTCATTTAAACGTATCTCGCTCATTCTTGATCGATTATCTCCCATCTTCGAGTATGTTATAGCTAAGACAATTCTGTTACGGAAACTAACCTTCATTTTCCCTTAAGATGACGTCATCATTGTCAAAATGAATTATTTTTTGGACTCTCTGCTTTCTTTAAAAAACTGAATTTTAATTTATGTCGTTATTTTTTCATTCATTTAAACGTATCTCGCTCATTCTTGATCGATTATCTCCCATCTTCGAGTATGTTATAGCTAAGACAATTCTGTTACGGAAACTAACCTTCATTTTCCCTTAAGATGACGTCATCATTGTCAAAATGAATTATTTTTTGGACTCTCTGCTTTCTTTCTTAAAATATATAAATTCACCGACAGAGGGCGGCAGACTATATTTCGACGCTATCAGACTGATATATAGTTCATATGAAGAGAAAATTTGTGTGGCATAACCGTCTAACAGGCGTTTTTAAATGCCACTTGACAAGGTTCAATTTCTTGTGCCATTACCGTCTGCCCGTACGTGTACGTGTGCATTAAAATTTGAAAATTCTCAATATCACTTTTTTGGTAATTTAAAGCACGTTTCAGGTCTTTTTCAGCATTACAAAATTGTCCATAATCATTAAATTATGAAAATTTTTCACGTGCACAGCACGAACTGAAGCTAGAAGCTAGATTTGAACTCGTCACTCTAAAAACGAGTTAGGTGATCCATTTATCAAGCAAAAGCAATCTATTGGAGTTTAAACTATCAATTATGGATAAATACCGTAGCCAGGATTTTCAAACAGAGCAAGACAATCAAGCCTGCTGCCTTATTTAGGAATCGTCAAAGGTTGATTCTGTACTTCATACTCCATCATTAGAAAAGACTACTCCAATAGCCGCCGTACATAAAACCAGATTGTAATAATTTTTTTAGAAACTCAAGGCGCTGTTTGTAAATATGTTCATTATTCTGGTACTGTACATAGTCCTATTTAGTCAGGTAATGTGTAAGGGAATAATCCAGCTTTGCGTAATCAATGCAGTATACACAGTAGGCCTTCTGTATGTGCCACCCACCCCATTTTGCCACTAAATTTTAGAAATTTCAATGCATATATTGAAATTAGTGCTACTAACAAACTTATCTATTCTGTGGTTTGCTTTGCCCCCACCCCCCTTTAAAAAAAATTCTGGATCTTCCCTGGCCGCAAATAAGTTTCCTGTTGAAATAAGCTTCTTTCTTCGTCCAAAAGTTATAAATGCTTTCTATAAATTATGAAAATTTTTTATAAATTACAAACTTGTATTATCTTAAAACAATAAAACCTGAAAAAAACCTTTTCATTTTACCAATGTACAGTGTAACTGTAATGAATGCGAGATTTCATAAAAACAATTGATTCAGTCATTCAGTCAAATATTTTTATTTTCTTTTGGAAACAAACAGTACCTTTAAATTAAAGTTACAAAAAAAACATACTCAAGTAACACCATCTCTATCAACTGGCGCCTAACTACATACCGTGAAAATTGTCCTTGTGGTAATTACTTTCCAAAACATTGATCTCTAAACACAGTAAGTCTTCATAACAATTATATGAAGGGAATATCTTAAGATGTCATTTTTAAATGTGTACCAAACAAAATTACATACAGTAGTTGCCTAATAATGATAAACAATGAATTTTGACCTACATCTCTTTTTAATTTAAAAACTGTTTGGAATGCATAAACATAAACTAAGGCTAAAGAAATCATCTTGTCATCTTTTGTGAATCTAACATGTTTTGACCTTGTCACTCAGCAATGCTTGTGCTCAGGGCACACAGTACATGTATATATGTACACATTATCACTAATAAGAGGTTGTATGTTTGCGAGAGTAGAGCAGTCCAGCATATAGAGTATGCATTGAAGTGATACGCTTGTCAAAGTCTGGTCATAATGCAGGAATTTTCATTAATTTTGACCGTTTAATTGACTGGTATAAAAATATGACACACTCTTCCGTTTGCTCAGCAGATCAATAGTATATGATAAATCTGCAGTTTCTTGGCTGTTTTTTTCTCTTGTAAAACACACTTTATCAAATCTGATAATCAATTCCTCTACTGTATATCTTGAAAAATGAATAGATCTCTCAAGCACCATCTAACTGAGAACTGAACTATATGCCTTTCAATACTACACAGATTAGCTTTAGCTTCAGGAGGAATACAGTTTATATTTGGTGCTTCCATTCCATGGCAGCAAAGCTGAAAAAATAGCCTGCTCACGGTTGGACATTATCATCAAATTTGCAAAGTTTAGTCAATTGCTATGAAAGAACTAATGGCTTTTATGCTGGCTAGCTTAAAACCTTGTGACAGACCTCATGAAGCTTGAAAGCAGACATTTAGCAAGAGAATCCACTTATTCTCATCATGGTAAATTGTAAAGATGGGAATACTTGCATAGTTTCTTGTGTAATATCATACACAAAAACCTAATTGAAAAGTAAAAAAAAAAAAATTGAAATATAAACAATATTATAACATGAAACAAAATATGTTAATCATATATCAAACAAAATAAGTTGGTCATCAGGTGTCACTACCAGTATATGTCCATTGAAATAATTTCATTATTCAAATAAACCAAATTTAGTAAGTGCATATAATATATATATGTGTAATTTCATTTAAATTACAATTCACCAAATACAACATAATGTAATTATATAATATTCAATTTCAATTATAATAAATTTAATTCCACATGCTTTGTGTTCAAGGTTAGATTTTGAAAGCATACACCTTCCTCCTTATTTTGTTTTTTTTTGTATGCATGTGAAAATATGTTTATGGCACTAATGCCCCTTTTGATTTTCAAGTGGTCATGAAAACCTATATCTTTTATCGTATCAGCATATCGAGTGTGTTATGCACACCGTTTTTAAAAGCCAACCCTATCAACCTTTCATAAGTCAAATGTTTTGTGGAATATGAAATACATTCAGGTTTATACATTTAGTTCATCATCATCAAACTAAATCTGTTTGACACATTTATTGAAAAAGAAATAGTTACCTTAATTGTGTTTAGTATCAGCCTGAGTTCTTTCAAGCAGTTCATGCACAGTGAATATCTACAGCAATCTGGACAAAGAGAATTCAGTTATAAAATATCATAATATCGGTTTTTAATGACTGACAATTAAATGATAATGCCAGTTACTTTTTACTAAACTATGCCTGTACAACAATACAGTGTGTCAGATTCATGAGAAATACCCTCTACTTCGATTCCTAATGCTCTGTACACCACAAGTGTGTCAATATTTTCATAAACAACCAAGAATCAAAAATAGCACGAATATTCACCATCAACATTTTACTAATTTTTACTGTCAATGTCATCTAGTTCTTTAAAAAAAAGTGGTATATTATTATTCCTATGTTTATCAAAATTTACTGTTTACTAATGTTTAAGAGTATATTTTGAGACTATAAAATCTCAAACTATTATTAAAATGTACCTTTATTTCTTCAAATCAAATCAAAATAAAGTACCCATCTCCAACTATATATCCATTCTTTCACCATCAACATTTTATTAATTTTGACCGTCATCTGGTTTATCAAAATTTTATGATTACTAATGTTTAAGAGTATATTTTGAGACTAAAAAAATCTCAAATTAATATCAAAATATACCTTTATTTCTTAAGCACCATTTAATCAAGGACTTTTAACTGTTACCAGGATAGGAAGCTGGCTGGTTTAAGCCATCTAACTTGAATTAGCCTTATGTGCGGTATTGTTATGCAAATGAGCCAGATAAGCACAATCTGCACATGCTCAGAAAAACAAAAATTTCTTTAGCCACACTGCGTATCAGCTAGGCGTACAGCAGCTAGGCCTAGCTTATCTTATTTTTGTTTGTTACGCACCATTGACTGTTTGTCATCACTTCAAGATGTCTACCAATTCATGGAAAAGGCGAATTAAAATCCAAATATTGGCGTTTGTGAGCAATACATTTTAATTTTATATAGGTAAGTAGCAAGTATATGAATAATTTTAATGCGCTAGTTAGTTGATAACTTCATTCTAATTTGTTTTGGGTCTTCTTTCTGCATTTTTATAAGCGGTTAAACATGGCCTAGGCCGGGTCTAGGCTAGGCTAATCACATCAATTTAAAATTAAATTTGTAGACATACTTGCCTTATATCTTAACTTGCAGGTGATTTTATTGGTAGACTAGTTTGTTTTTAAGTGTGTAAGTATGATTGATTTGAATGCCAAGTGAAATTAGTACCCTTATTTTGCTTTGTTTTACTGTACCGTAAATACAAGGATTGCCCATGGAAGTTTAGAAGAAGACTTATTTGTAGTGGGGTCCTTTTGGTGGTGATTGGGTGTTCCATTCCGATGTGTGTACTGTGTTCTTTAACTTGCACATGGGGTATGGTTTAAATGCATACGGTACGGGAGCAATGGTTTAAATTTGTCATTTGAAAGATGGTGTGCTGTTGTAACTTGCATTTCATCCCTGTAGATGAAACACAAAGAGAGTAAAGGTGCTCCTAATTTTTTTAATTGAATTATTAATATTTTGTAACATATTTATATATAGTTCTGAATTTATGTTAAGTTTTGTCTACACTATCAAATTTGATCAAATAAGTACAACCCCTACCTCCATAACACTACCTCGTACCGACAGTCTTCGTTTCTTCGGTGAACCACATGCTTCTACCAGTGACACTACTTTCGGAGAAATAAATTCTTGTACAACTTCCATGTTGATATCAAAATCCGCCACATTAGTCATCACCTAAAAATTATGAAAAATATTAAAATTGAATAAAAAATAAATTATACACTACAGTACATATTCACTAACATTACTCTTTCAAAAACGTACACATTCTCTAACGCCAAATGCGCATGCGCCACACATTGTTGCAAAATACCATTAGGGGCTACTTTTACGACTGATCGTAAAAATAACCAAAACGAAACTTTTATTTGTCCCTAATACATACATAAAAACACATCTAAAAAACAAACCTTCGATTTCTCGGTCACCCGAAAAGAGCTTCCTCCAAATACGTTTGTCACGAAAACTTTTGTTCCTACTGCTAGGCTGAACAACCGGGACTCGACCTCCGACTCTACAAATTCATTGTTAACATAGCATGGTACCACACTGTTACCACCTTCTTCGATCACCATGCCTACAGAAAACGCTTTTCCCACATTTGATCTTTTTCTTCTTTCAAACCTTTCCACAACGTAAAACTTCCTAAACTTCGACATTATAATCAATACACTACAAAACCTCGAAATCGGATGACTGACAGCAACGCCTCGTGAACAAATGATCCAGATTATTCGGTCACATGTATAATAAACTTTTTCGCTGTTTTAACTGCGCATGACGGTTGACAACGTGCATGCTCTAAAAATAATAACTTTACTTACCTCTCTAAAGCAATTTAATTTGTAATTAATGAGAACTCATAATTATAATTAAATGAAAAAATTATAAGGTATATTATAGTTTTTAAAAAATTCATAAGGATAATGTATAATGATGTGATATTTAAACAAATAGTTTCCAGTGTAACCAGCCGCCAATTGAAAATCTCCCTCAGTCTATTGACTGATCCCAAAAGTTAGGCGAACCGAGTTAATGTTGAGGGCGCTAAAGTATTCCTTGCTTCTATGTCTGGACCTTGGTGTGGACCTACCATTGAAATTCTATTGGTATCGTATATTGATATTTTAGCGCTAAAGTATTCAACACTGCTTCTATGTGTGCTTCTTAACACATAGGACCTACCATTAAAATTTTATTGGTATCGTATATTAATATTTTTAAAGTTCTTCTAAATTGATACTCACCTGTGCTTATATAAATATTTGTCTTATATAAACATTATCTACCTATAGATAATTTAAAGCATGTTTCAGGTCATTTTGAATATTCCAAAACTTTCCAAAATTGACGAGTCGTACGCTCATTTCCACGCCCACAGCACGTACTGAAGCTGGAAATTACGTTTCGGTTACATGTGTTGGGTTTGTGACACTGCAATAATACTACCGTGCGCACGGACTTTAAGACGTATGTGTACACATTCGTAAGTCCTTAAAATGCTCAAAATTTCTTTTAAAATGCTCAAAATTACTCTTTAAATAGAGCATGTTTTCGCATATAATACTTTTCAATCAGAACCGCGCGTGCTTAATTCGTGAGGGTCAAAGTACGGCGGATCACCAAACTCGTCCTCAGTGACGAGTTCAAATCTAGTTAATTTTTGGTTTCGAAATCACCCATTGGTGCTTTTACAGTGGTAGATTGGGTGAGTCCCACCACAGCGAAAACAGGAGTGCTTATAAGCACAGCTTGAAAAATACTCAGTTTGAACCCTTTCTAAATGAACATCCCTGGCTTGGAGTTTCCATAAAATTCACAGCAAGCAGCAGCACTACACTACGTAATCGTTCCACGATGCAATTGAGAAGGGTCCCCAATTTCGCTGATCAATTGCTGATACCTGCCAGCAATACTGAGTAGTGATTTTATGGAAATAAGGCTTCAAGAACCCTGTAGGATTCCCCACTTCATCTGATGTCATAATTTCTTTTCCTCTTTTGACCACCAAATCTTAGAACATGGGCAGTACTTTACAAGTTTTGTCAACTTATAATTGTCTTTTACATTACACTCTACAATTTGCTGTAAAGCGCATAGAGGTATTTTACATTATGCGCTATATAAATTGACAATTATTATTTTTGTTATTACAACATTTAAGTTGTTCAGCTTCAGTATGAGGAAATAAAGGGTGTTTGTACTTGGTACAATGTTGCAGTGACTCTATCCAATGACCAGAGATAATAATTAGATATTATGATCTAGTGCATTATTAGAACTGATTTTCTTTATTAAGTTAAAACCAAAAAAAGTATTAAAATGTTTATGAAAAATTGTTCTTTTTAATGGTTCTTCACATCTTTTATCATAAATTACTAGTTAAGAATATTGAATAAACCAAAAAAAAATTTAATCTGTACATTCCTGAATTGCTGAGAGTTGTGTGTATATATATAATAATTTATGGTATACTGTACAGAAATTGTTAATAATTAAAGATGTGTATATATTATACAGTTGTTTTCAGTCTAATTATTTTGTAGGCTATTCACTTCAATTTAGTTATATATTTTGACCATCTTTTTACTGAACAAAGGGAAAAAAATCACCAAAGAAAATGAAGTAGATTGCTATAAACATTCTTAAACTGGGAGTCAATGTAACTAGCTTTGTCACAGATATGATAGCCACCTCTGTAAGACCATATGCTTTACTGTGCACATATTTCTTGCGCGTTAAAACTTTTTCATGCACAGTAGTGGAGCGTAGGGTAAATTAAGTGTCTGCTGGGGTTGCAAATTGAATAAAATTAATGTTTTTCTTTAAAAAAATTGTTTTTACAGTATTATGTATTTTATATTCAAGGGCCTCCCTGGAATTAACACAGAATGACTATACACGCAAGGTTGATTTTTTTTTATACTCAAAACAAATCTCTGGGTTTCCATTAGAAGTTTTATATTAATCTTGCGGTCTTGATTTGAATGGAAAACCAAGAGGTGGGGACATAATTTTCTTTTGGCAATTGCATTATTGCATAATACTTTGTTGTGCCTTGATTAATATTATGAAATAAACATTTTATGTGACCATTTATTTTATTAATAGACAAAGTAATTATCAAGCAAGTATTTTTGATTGTGTAACATATTATCTTCTGTTAGCATATTTTATTATTCTACTTTCTATGATGGTATTTTATATGTATATTGGAATTAAATAAAATTTAAATCAAATGAACTTGTTGTATGTGTAAGTATATTTAAAGATACATTGGGTACTAAATAACCCCTTGAATAGCTCTTTAAAAGCATCAAGTTTCTAACCAGAAACAGAACAGAAAAAGGAGTTTTTCACTGGTTTACAGACATTTTGCTACAGAAATCCTGACGTTCAATACCACCCGTGAATTAAAGGGTCTATAGATATTCTGTGGTCACAAAATAATTGCATTGATCATTTGTCCCTTTAATTGTCTTTGATCATTCTAAACTTTACATTTCACAAATATATATGTAATAAAATATAATGAAATTTTACTAGTCAAACCAACAGGGAAACAGTAGTTCAGTTTACAATTTAGAGACTGTAGGAAGGGAGGGAGGGGCGGGTGGGCAGGGCGGGTGTTGAGGTAAGAAATTTTATGACTATGACACCTAGATGGCTGGAAATGGCACTCTGAGAGAATTTCCCCCCTTTTAGCTTTCTTAACACATTTAATTTTATTTTGCTGCACATACAGTAGTGATACCCATTGGCAATTCATAATAAAGCAGTGGTTATTTTCTGGGAGACTTGGGACGCAGTGTTCTCCCGAAGTCATTTTAGCTGTCAATTTTACCAGTAAAAATAACTGACCAACCAGTAAAAATTGTGTGTTGGTAGAATAAAAAAGTACTTATTAGGACTAGGTAGCACAGGCTGCCCTTCTTTCAATAAATGAACATCATTCCAGTCATTGAACTCCACTTTAAAGAGGCAATACCTCATGTTGCGCACCCTTAGCTGCCTTTATATGGACAAATTTACCAGTAAAAATGTTTCAAATGGGAGAACACTGACCCCTGATTTAACCACCGCACATGAAACAGTAAGTTCATTTGACAACCTCACGAGAAAACAACTTATTTAACAATGTAACTCATTTAACCACCTCACCCACCCACATTATTACTTTATTGTTCTGTATTAATATTACATAATCAACTACATTTTGTGTTGCTGCTGTGTCTTGGCTTCTGGCAAGTGAAGAACACACAGTGGTATTTGTATTGTAACATTGAGCGTGGATTTTGGGTGTAAGTGCTTTCAGCATCTGTGTGTTCATCCTGAAAATAAAAAAATATAGAAGTGCAGTGTTAGAAAAAAAAATGAGTAAAAACATAATTTTATTAATTTTGCATATTTCAATCATAGGAGCCAATAACAGTAAAAAGGCTGACATTATATTCACATGATTTGACCTATGACCTAAGCCAACACGATTTTAATGGTCTGCTCAGGCTGCCGTCGCGTTGTGACATAGTGACAGAGGCGGGAGATGGATTCATCGGCCAATGGTTGTACCGAATAAAATAATGTGCACCAAGCTTCAAAATAATCAAATTAAAAGAAAAACTTACTAAAATGACAAATCCAATTTCTGTTATCGCTCTTCTCAATTCTACGTAGCTAACTTCAATGGAATTCTCTCCAGGAATATCTGAGAAGTGGTACAACAATGGACCTAAAACGAAAGCAATTTATTACAGTATCATTACTTATTTGGCAAAAAAAAAAACCAGTATCATTACTTATTTGGCAAAAAAGAACAAATAGATTACCGCTGTTAATATTTATAAAGAGATAAATAATGTAGCAAAACTATACAAACCAAGGTTTATCCAGTAGCCACCAGGTTTTAAGATCTCATAGATCTTGTCAAGATAATCTAGTATGTTGTGAGCTGTATCTATAAAATAACACGTGGCTATACAGTTCCAGTAATCTAAAAATACAACATAAGGAACTTTGAAAGATGAACTGTATGTAATAATATCTAAAAATAAATATATGTATATAAAAATTACTGAATTGTTTATTTAAAAGGATCAAAGTTTCAAGGAAACACAGGGCGAAACAATTTATATTTCTTGGCTATTAAGGGTCTAGGCAAATAATATAGGAATAGTATCCGCATCATTTAATTGGGGAGATATATATTTTCTTATTTTAATTTTTGATTGAAAGTTTATAAATAGCTTATAAAGAGAGTAAGTGAAACAATTATTAAATTTTATTCTATAAATTTAAAATTAAATATTGTTGTAACACATAAAAAAAAGTGATTTTTATCTACTTGAGTATAATTTGACGGCTCAGCGAATTTCAGTTGTTGGGTAGGGGAACCTGAGGGGTGTGTAAGCATTTTTTCGGGGGCCATGCAAACCCACAATATCCCTGCCACTGCATTAAGTACTTTCTGATCAATTCATGAGATCATTGTGAACACTTGGTGAAACATGTTATTTAAAGAAATAAACCTTAAATGAACCTTTTTCTGTATACACCTCCAGGAAGTCTCCCGCAGCCATTGAGAAGTTCGCATCTTGCGGGAGACTCTGCGTACATATGTCAGGGATCTTTATGGCTTTGACCTGGTCTTCAGAGCCTTTATTGTTTGTATATTGGTGTACCCAGGGGTACAGAGTATATGAATTTATCCCTCCTGATCTACAAAAATAAATGACAATAATTGGTAAATTATGTTACAATATCCTATTAAGATTCCGATGGTGCGACCACAAAATGATGGAACAAGTTGTCTGATACAAGTACATATTACAAATTTATTGTAATATCCATATCAGTACAAAAAAACTATATTTTATAAAAACAAAATAATAATTTCAAAACACAAAAGCAATACATTAACAATAAGACATTATGGATAACAGAGGGTAAACATTTAAGCAGGTAGGCTTCTTTCAGAAGGGGTCCCTTTGATTCCCCCTGTGAATACATAAACGAGAATAAAGTCAGATGCTACATACCTATTGAGAATGAAGTTCGCTGCGATTAACATTATCATGCTGAATTCGTTTCCTTGACACATATACCCTAGCTTAGCAATTTCAAACGCCAACCTTCCAAGACCAGCTCCTGGTACCAACACCTTTTTTGGCTCTCCTCTTTTTTTATGCCTAGGATTTCAGGTAGTTTAACTTAAGTCATTTTAATGTTAGGAATCTCATTTTATATGTTTTCAAATGATAACTTAAATATTGGTACACTAACATTATTTTAAATGTTTAAGATCCCTGACATTTGAAGGTCACTATTCGGTGATTCTAATATATCAACACGTAATTTTCTTATTTTCTTACATTTCATGTGGTGGACAATAGCGTTTTCAACAGCATACATAACAACAGGGGGCAGTATAAGCAATATATGGATAGCTTTAAGTGAATAATAAAGAGCTCTATTATACCTCTTATCAATGGGTAATCTTGATAGAACTTCTTCTATAATTGGTTTATAACAAAGATCTCTTTCTTGCTGGCCTTCTGAGCTCCAATCTCGTGAAAATTGTTTCAGGGTTGTATAAATCTTCTCCATGTGATATGATGAAATTGTTTTTCCTGTGTTCCTAGGGTCCTTAGTATTCTAATAGTCAATAATGCAGATCACAGATTACATTGCAAATATACAGAAAAACTACTTCTTTTGATCTTTGAAATATGAAGAATTTGAAATGTAATCTTCAGTACACAACTTCCTTTCTTATGACCTATTATTACAAGGTATATAATTACTTTGTCTTAATATATAATACAATATTTATATTAAGCTATAATTCAACTTAAATAATCTATTCATTATAACAACAAATTCATAAGAAACAAATATATTAAAAATGTGTTCAAACCTTAACATCTGGAAATTTCCAGTTTCATTTCATTAACTTAAAGTTTTCCAGTCAGTCCAAAT